TACTGACCCACAAAAAGGCCATTACAGAGAGAAACTGGTAAAATGTGAATAAAACTTGAAGTTTACATAGTGCATAACACCAGTGGTTAACCTGGTAAAATGCAAATACAGCCTGTAGTCAGTAGGTATGGGTCTTGGTGATGTAGTGGGTTAAGTGTTGGACTGCTAACTGTGGTTCATACCCACCAACTGCTGTGGTTCATACCCACCAACTGCTAACTGTGGTTCATACCCACCAACCACTCCATGGGAAAAATATGAGGCAGTTGCTCCCATGAAGCCTCCAAAATCCCACGGGGCAGTTCTGCGCTCTTCTACAGGGCCACTATAAGCAGGACTCAATGGCAGTGAGGTAATAAGTACTATGATTGTTGTTGTTAAGTGCTATCCAGTTACTTGCAACTCATAACAACCCTACATACAATAGCTCTGAACCCTACTCTATCCTCAGCCAATCTCATAGTTTCTAATACACCTACCCCCATTACCTCAGTCACTGAGTCGATCCATTTTATCCATTTCCTCTCTTGCGCTGTCCCTCCACCCTCCCAAGCATGATGTCCCTCTCCAGGGAGAGGCAACATGTCCAGAGTATGTCAGACGGAGATTCGGAATCCTTGCTTCCAAGGAGCAGCCTGGTTTCACCCTATCCGGGATAAGCCTGTTTGTTCTAGCAATCCATGGTATATTCAATATTCTTCTCCAGCACCACAACTCAAAACCATCAATTCTCCTTCTAGTCGTTGTCCAGCTTTCTGATGCATAGAAGTAATTGTGAAGACCATGGCTTGGATTAGTTGCACCTTCATCTCCAGATGGACATCGTTGCCTTTTAGTACTCTGGTGAGGCCCCTGACAGCAGATTTTCCCCAGTGCAATTCATCTTTTGATTTCCTGACTGCTGGTACCAAGAGTGTTGATTGTGGAGCCAAGCAAACTGAAACTGTTAACAATCTCAATCTCTTCACCATCTCTTGTGATGCTGCCCAGTGGTGTGAATCTTTGTTTTCTTGATGTTGAGCTTCAATCTGTATTGAAGGCTGCAGTACTTGACTGCAATAGTATGGTACCAGTATTCATTTCTGGATTTGGGAACATTAATAAAGGAGGCCTGGTAGCATAGTGCTTATCTTGCTGCTAATTGAAAGGCTGGTGATTCGAATTCACCAGTCAATCTTTAGGAGAAGGATTAGCAGTCCCCTCCCATAACAATTTAAAGGTTCTGAAACCCAACTTGACAACATGTGTTTTATGGTTGACAACAGTATGCTTGTTGGCTTTTATGGCTATACTACCCCCAACATGTCCAAATTTGGTCTAAGTATTTGAGTTCTGAAGACTAAGCAGGGAAGCCAGGCTTTTCTGCTGTGTCTCCTCCTTATTTTTCAGAAGAGAGCCTCCCTCAATAGCCATGAAAGGGACTGTGCACTGAGCAGTAGTTATTGCGGAAGTGAGAGTCTCACAGGGACAATATTTTATAGCTCCCTGCCATGCGTGCTGAACAGACTGAGGGGGCTCGTATGGAAATATGTTAGAAAAACAAATGGAAATGTGACCCAAAGTGTTGTAGAAATAGTTACAGTCTTCCCACTAGAGGTCACAGCCACCTTTGGGAGGGATCAGCAAGCTGGGAAGACACACAGCTGGCTCCTGGGTATTCATTCTCTAAGACAGACAGACTAGGTCATCAGAGCCTCACTTGGAGAACACTTTATGTGGGGACCATTTGGGCTAGTCTTGATGCTGTCCTAGCCAATTCCCCCTGCCACTGAGTTGATTCTGATTCCTAGCAACACCATAGAACAGAGTGGAACTGCTCCAAAGACCTTGTGATGCTGTAATCTTCATGGAATGAAGCTCTAGTGGCACAATGTATTAGGCATCCTTCTGAGAAGGACAAATAGTCTAGTGTTACCCACTTTCTAAACAAGATACTGCTCTACGAAAGTTACTAATTGTGTTATTGCTAACTGGAAGGTTGTGGTTTGAATCTCCCCACAACTCCTCTGGATGAAAATGGCAGTCTCTTTCAGAAACATTTACAGACTCAGAATCCCAAAAGAGAATCACCATGAGTTGGAATCCATTTGACAGCAGTGGGTTTGATTTGGGAGTTTCTAATTTAGTGTGTGTGTGTGTGTGTGTGTGTGTGTATGATCTGAATATTTATAAACCAAAATGCTCTTCCATTTAACCATTCATGTGCTTTTTGTTTTATGACATTAATGACAAAATCCATAATGTACCTGAACTCTTCCCACTCCCTCCTTATGATTCTCATTTCCATTCATCCTTCTATCTTATCCTTCCTGCCTTTGACCATTCTCCCTGGGTAAATACCACCCTTTTGATCTTCTATGGTTGAATATTCTAAGAAATCAGTGCCTCACTGGTATGAAATGATCACCTTAGAGGCCTGTCTATTGTTTGCTGAAAGCTGAGTCACAGAGGTAAGTTTTGTTCAAGGTCTGAAGAATGACTAGGATCCATAGTCTCAGAGGTTCCATTAGTTTCTATAGAACCCAAAAGTGTGTCCATTTTATGTTTTTTCATTCTCTTCCACATTGTTTGCCCACTCTGTCCAGGGCTCTCTACTGTGGTCCTTTCTAGAGTAGTCATGGTGCGAGCTGGGCACCATCCATTTCTCCTGATTCCAGGATGAGGAGGTTGAGGTTCAAGTGGTTCATTTGGCTAATTGTTTCAGTACATTTTTGCTTTTCTTCAGTCTTCTTTGTTCTAGACAGGGAGAAATCAGTAGTTATTTACATCTTCGATGGGTAGTCTAAAACCCCTGTGGCTACTCCCTAAAGTTAATATTGATTTAATCAGTAAAACACCCCAAAAGTCAGGACCATCCGTGATGAAGAAGGATGAGGAGCTGTGTTTCCTCAGCACTGCAGGGATCTGCCCCTGGAGTGATGGCTGGAATCCTGGCCACCTGCCCAGGGTGTCCAAAATGCACATCCTCAGGAGGTGACACTGAGAGGGTCAAGTGGGCAGTGAGTACCATGGAGCCTGTTCTTTGTAGGCCGTGTGGTCCTGACAAGCCCCAGCTTTCCAGGCATACTCCCCTCCACCACATATCAATGTCCCACCTCTGTGCTTGTGATGGGAAGCTTCTGTGAGAAACACTCACTCAGCAGCAAGAACCAACCCCCCAATTTTGCATCACAATATTTCACCCTAGCCCGTATCCAGGCCAGGCGCCCTCTTTGCTAAAAAATTACACATGTGGCCTTTTTTCAGCCTGTGCTGATCCCTGGCATGGACTTGAAGACCCCTGGGCACTCACTTCCAACCTACCATGCCTCCCTGCTCTGCAGAGACTTTTCTCTGCAGTCTTTCATCCTTCACAGAGGGTGCAGACCCTGATGAGTGAGGAGCACGTACACGTCTTCAGGGTGCCCTCTGGCGGCCGATAGTGATAGTCACTTTCACACACTGAAGGTGTTCCTAAAACACCTTACGTGTTCAAAGCCACTGTGCCATCAGGAATGCCTAATGGCAAGTAACCTTTTCCTTTTAGTATTATTAGCTATTTATTCTTTTTATTGTGACTTGAGTGTAATTTACAACACCAATTTATTTTCCGTTCAAACATTCACATTTTTGTTTTGTAACATTATTATACTCACCTTGTCACCACAGTCTTTCTACTTCCTCTTTGCAATTTTCCTTTCAATTCATCCTTCTAGTCTGTCCTGTCCTGCCTTCTGAGCTTTCTCCCTAGGCAAATACTGTCCTTTTGATCTTAAACAGTTTATTGCTCAAAGGAGTGAGTGCCTCCCTTGTGTTATTATTCACTTTATGGTCTATTAAAATTATCTTCGTATATATATATATATATATATATATATATATATATATATACTAACCGATGCCAAGAAATTCTTACCTAAGAGCAGATACCAATCTCTAGTCAAGGTCATTACATTTCCTAAACTATTTTAATAATCAAAGGTGATAATTAACAAATGTTTTAACACTAAACACCAATATTTATTGAGTCCTTGCTAATACATCATTCATTGTGCCAAGCCAGAGGTTGCAAATGTATAGACAGGTGCTTCCACTCAGCCAGTGCTTCATCCATGACAGACATCACCAATCAATCACGTGTTTTTCCCTATCAGGCCTGCATGTGGCCCCATAATCTTTCTCAGTTGTGTATTCCAGAAAGTCAGTACCGAATGAGTAGAACCAGAGTACAGGATGGAGTTGATTTATTGGACCATTGACGTGTTTCAAGGGACCCTGGTTGGCTATGTAGGTTATGTGTTGGGCTGCTAACCAGAAAGTTGACTATTTGTGTCCTCTAGCCGCTCCTTAAGATAAGAGGTGGCAGTCTGCTCACATTAAGATTGATAGTCTTGACAGTCCAATGAAGGGTTTCCATGAGTCAAAATCAACTTGATGCAGTGGGCGTGCCTTGATCAACATGTTTTATATTAATTTCCTCATTTTTATCCTTTAATAACTCTATGATGTAGGTAGAGCCCTGGTTTATGATATTCAAAGAAGTCCCTTTGCCTCTTCTGAACCCCTGGCGACCTCCAGCCTGTCCCCCATGATTGTGAATTTACCTAGTTCAGAAGTTTGCATGTGTGAGGTCAAACAATGCGTGCTCTCCTGTAACTAGATCCTTTCACTTAGCTAATATTTTCAATTTTCATCTGTGTCATAGCATAAATCAGTAATCCATGCCTGTTTTGTAGCTGAACAACATTCCATTGTGTAGTTTTACTATATTCTGTTGATCTTTCTGTTGGACAGACACTTGAATAACCTTCGTTTTTGTTGTTGTTGTGAGGGATAGTGTATCCAGGTCTCTGTGGTTGTGTGCCACTGTTTTAATTTAGACAGTTGCTTGCCCTCTTTCCCTTGGATGCTCAGCATGCCTGCCATAGTTGCAACCACATGACGGATGATGTAGACTCATTTGAATTACGTACAGTGACTGTGCTCTGAGTATGTTCCCATGCTCTGCATCTTTCTTGTAGACCTGCCTTGCATGTGGAATTACGTTTCCTCCCAAATCTGAAGCTGGTGCAGAAGAAGGAGTGGTCCAGAACGGCTGTCAAGATGATCATAAAAACAGCACCAAGGTAACAAGACCATGACTATGGCTTCCCATTAGATCCTCTCTTGCCTCAGCCACCCAAGTGACATTCCATGTCTTTGGTGTCTCAATTCTGAGAATCCCTCCTCTTAGATGGCACCTCCTAGTCCTTCAGGTTTTAGGTAGACCAGTAAAGAACAGGATAGAGAGACAGGCCTGATCTCTGTGAAATAGGATGACCATGTGCTGAAATGAATGGGATTCCCATGGTGGATACTAAGAGTTTAAAGATGTTTTAGTTAGAAAAGTTAGAGAAGGATTTATAGAACTGGAAAACAAACCCCAAACCAAACCCACTGCTGTCAAGTATTATCCCAAGTCATGGTGTCTATAGGATAGAGTAGATTGTCCCATAGGGTTTTCCAGACTGTAGATCAAAACTGAGCAGACCACCTCGTTTTTCTCCAGTGGAGTGGCTAGTGGGTTCACACTGCTCACCTTTCTGTTAACATTAAAATGCTTAATCTAATCTCAGCCCAATCTCCTTATAGAACTGGAAGCTAGGCAGATAAATGGTAGCATATAGATGGGCAGAGGGAAGAAGGACCTTCTTTGACATGGGAAATGTACAGAAAAGAGAGTTTTGGAGGTAGAGCAAGCAGCAGCAAGGCTTCGAGAGAAGCACAGCTTTGTGTCAGGGTCAAGACTCGAGTGGAATGGCGGCAGAAAGACTGAACTCAAGAACTTTTTCAAGAAAGCATTAGGACCACTGAATTCCTCTGAGAGACCAGGGCTGTTGTCTTCCATCTTCTCACCATCTGCTAAAGGAGTTGAGGGACAGCCCTCATAGCCACAGTCACCACCCAAAATCCAAGCCCCTGTCTTTACTCACCTTTCCTTAAGATACAGCTTGTGCAGCACAAGGCCTTCCTCCCTCAGCCCCATCTCCACACATTCCCTGAACTTTCAGACTTTCTGTACAGCCCTTCAGAAGGAGCACCAGCTCTGCAGTGCATACACTCTCCTACAACCTCCACTCTCTTTTCAGCTTGCTTTCTGTTTCCTTCTATGACATCACTTACCTGGTTGCCTGAACACCTTGAGATGCAGGTTGAAGAGGCAGGATAGGAGAAGCAGAGGGGGGGAGAGGTGAGGCATGCCATTAGAACAGTGGTCTCTAGATGCTGGCCTCATTTTCACACATCAGGCCTGCTGTCTGCTGTGGGAATAGAGGATGCCAGCATGGCAGAGGTTGGGGTGGACAGAGGCTTCGCACTAACTGCTGTGTTGGTCTCCCCTTTGTCTTGAGGCAGCCATCTGTAGGGCCTCATTCCAAATCCCAGAATGGACTGCTGAGCCCCCCACCTGAGGAAAAGCTCACCAACAGCCAGACCTCCCTTTGTGAGATGCTACAAGAGAAGGGGCGGTGGGCAGGGGTGAGCTTGGACCAGTCGGCTCTCCTCCCACTGAGGTTCAAGAACATCCGGGAGAAAACAGATGCCCATTTTGTTGATGTTATCAAAGAAGACAGGTAAGCCAGGGCTAATGGCGTTTCCTTACCCTTAGCTATGATTTATTCCTCCATGTGTTCCCCCTTGTCAGTTTATTACTTTCTTATTTTGGAGTCATTTCAAACTCATTAAAAGTAGAAGAATAGTAGATTAATTATATTTTTGTCCACATTGTTCATCCATCCATCAACAACCTGGACTCGAAGATTCCCATTTTTTTTTAAGGGACTTCCAGTGTCCTTACCATATGCTGATTCTCAAGTTGTTCTAAACTCCACCACTGAGATTCTCTTTATACTGACTTCTGTGTCCTTTTGATACATTCCCACAGCTTGTTTAGAGAAAGTCCTTACTTTCTGACACAAAGCAGACACCCCAGGAACATCTCCTGCCTTCCCTGCACCAGCTGTGGAGTAAGCCATTTCTTCAGAGAGCTTTGGTATATGTGACTGTCTGCGTGACCTCAGTACATTCATGGTGGTTGAAATTTGTGTGGCCTCCCTTGTGATCAGTTACATCCCCTGGGCACTTGGAAAGAATCTGTTCTGCAGCCATTGGATGTTGTGATCCATGGTCATTGATGAGGGCCAGGTGATTGGTGGTAGTGAAATCATTGATTCAGATCATATTTCTCAAAGGATTTTTGTTTTGGGTTAGGGTTTATTTTGTCATGATGTTCTATGGGTTATTGAGAAAAAGATATAAAAAATCTCCAATTTGATTGTAGGATTTCCTCCTGCTGTTGTTGTTAGGTATTTCCCAGTCAACTCTGACTCTTAGTGACCCTGTGGACAACACAGTGAGATCTTACTGGATCCTATGTTGTCTGCTGTGCTCACGTCTACTGTTAGTCCATCTTGTTGAGAGACTTCCTCTCCTTCTCTGACCCACTACCTTTACAAGCATCTTATCTTTCCAGGTCCTGACCCCCCCTGACAACATGCCCTGATTCTCCAGTTCTCCTGATTGTACTTCTTCCAAAATAAACCATCTTATATTATTCAATACTCCTCTCCAATACCACAACTCAAAGGTTTCAGTTCTTTTGTCTTCTTTATTCATTGTCCAACATGCAGGGAAGCAGTTGAAAGTACCATGGCATGGTGAGGCACACCTTGGTCTATAAACTGACATCCTTGCTCTTTAGCACTTTGGAGAGTTCCTGGACCTTGCATTGGGAGCAGGTTTTTCCCAATGCAAAAGTACTTTTATTTTCAATGGAATTCCAAAATCTCTGTAGATGTTCATTGAAATGAAAAATAAACAACCTAAATTTTTTAAAAAAAGTACTTTTATTTTCATGATTGTTGCTTCCCTGGGTGTTGACTTTGGATGCATAGAAAGTGAAATAATTGACAGCTTCATTGTTTTCTCCATTTATGATGATATTGCCTTTTGGTCCAGTGGTGAGGATTTTTGTTTTCTTAATGTTGACATGTAATCTACATGGAAGGCTGTAGTCCTTGATCTTATGTTATAAAAGCTTCACGTCTTCTTCACTTTCTACAATCAAGTGTGTCATCTGTGTGTTGCAGGTAAACTTACCTAATAGGACAAGTTGTTTCCTGTGTTTGAAAATCATAGCATCAGCATTTATGCCAGCATTATGTATTGTGAAGAGTTGAGTTGATCCTTTTATTCTCTGAGGTGCTAGACCTCCCCTCTCATCCCTGGCATATGCTTTGTTTTAAGGACTGCTTATCTAACTTGGATGCAATTCTCTCGCTTTCTTGTAAGAATCAAAAGGTCAGGGTTTCAAATGTACCAGCCACTCCATGGGAGAAAGAGATGCTCCCATAAAGATTCCAGCCTTGGAAATGCTATGGGGTAAGTCTGCTTTTTCTTGTGACATCTTTCTGCTTCCAAGCCTCATTTCAGCATTTTATAATTGTGGTCTCATGCAATACTTGTCTTTCTGTGTTTGATTTAATGTGGTCCTCTATACCATCTTTATTGTCACTGGGCAGTAGTCCATTTTATGTATGTACCAGTTTGTCCCTTCATCTGTTTATGAACACTCAAGGTTATTTCCATCCTTTTGCTGTTCTGAGTAATGCTGTGATGAACATTTGTCTGTTCATGACACAGGCGTGTCTCAGATATTGTGGGTTTGTTCCAGACAGCTTGTAATAAAGTGAATAAAATAAATCACTTCACACCAGTCATTTTTATTTCCCCAAGCATGTGTAAATTATATTGACATTGACTGTAATCTATTACATATGCAGTAGAATGGTTAAATCTCTCTAGAATTATGGGAATGCAACACGGAGACATGAGATGAGCACACGCTGTTGGGAAAGTGTTGCTGAGAGACTTCCTTCATGCAGGGTTTCCACAGACCTTCAGTGCATGAAGAGTACAGTCAGACTGCACATGAGGAAGCAGGGTATCCTACTCATACCTGGGAGTGGGTTTGCTAAGTGAGAGGCCATTTTAATTTCTGTCTTGTTAAGGAAGCACCACACTGTTTTCCAGAGTGATTGTATTGTTTTGGAATTCCACCAACAATGTCTTCAAATTCCGCTCTCCTCACTCCTCACCAGCATTTGTTGTTCTCTACTGTGGCGGTTAACATTGTAGGTTTTATAACCAATCCCTTTATTTCTGGGGCACTCCTTAGGTAGTTGCACTCCTAACCTAAAGACCATACCTTTCTGGTAGTAAAAATGACCAGCCACTCCTCAGAAGAAAGATTGGTAATTAGGAACCCTCTGCAGGTTCAGCTGTGGGCCAGTTCAGCTCAGTAGCAAAGAGGAAGATGGTAGCTCACTGCCATTTTGATTTGCCTGTCTTTAATGTCTAGTGATCTAGAACAACTTCGCACATATTTTTTAGCTACATAGATGTCTTCTTTGGTGAAATGTATGTCCATTCCCTTTGTCTACTTTTTAAAAAAATATTTTTATTGGTTTTCATATAATAATTACATTATGCTTCATTCACACTGTGTTTTATACAGTCTTTCATTTACACTGTGTTTCATACAATCCTTTCTAAACATTCTATTTTACTTTTTTTTCTTGTTTTGCTTACAAAGTTTATTTACATTGTGCTTCACACTATTCTTCATTGAACTCTTTGTCTTTTTGTGGTTGAAGTGTTGACGTTTTCTATAAATTGTAGCGCCTAGACCCTTGTTGGATATGTTGTAACCCATTTTCCCCCATCTGCAAATTCCCTTTTTGCTTATTTGGTGCAGGTTTTTCATGTGTAAAATAAGTCAAAACCAAATTCCCTGCCATAAAGTTGATTCCAAATTATGACAGCCCTTTACCAGGTCTCTGGGCTTCTGTGCACCTGAAAGTTGGATAATGAGAAAGGAAGACTGAAAAAAAAAATAATTGCCTTTGAATTGTGATGTTGATGAAGAGCATTGACTATCCCACGGACTGCCAGAACAAACAAAGCTGTTTTGGAGATCGTAAAACCAAGGTGCTACTTAGAGACAAATGGTGAACCTGCATCTCACATACTTTGGACATGTTTTCAGTAGGGACCAGTCCTTGGAAAATGAGTTGAGAAACATAGATTGGCACAATGATTATCATAACAGACTGAAGCATGGCAGAGATGTGAGGATGGTGCAGGATAGGGCAAGGTTCAGATCTGTTGTTCACAGGGTCTGTAGGAGCCGTAGTCAGCTGACTTGGACAGCATCTGACGTCTTCACAAACAACACCTGACCATCTCACCCCTGGAGATCCTGGAGGGTCTGTACCTGCAGCCTTCTGTCAGCAGCCTGACACTTCCCCCAGCCTGCCACCAGGGTTCCTTTTTTATGCAGAGAGGTGCTTTATTTTCCAGATGGATTAGTTCTCTAATTTATTTTCTGCTTTTATGTATGTTAAAATGCACTTACACACCTATTATGACCTCTAGTAATGTCCTTATTTTTCCCTTTCATTATCATTATATTTATAGGTTTTTATTTAGATCTTTGATGCATTTTTAACTCACTTTTGTGGATGATGTGTGTACCAAATGGATATATAGTCTTACCAGCATCATTTGTTAGACTTTTCCCTTCCCAATTTAATGGGCCTTTTTCGAAGTTCAGTTGCCTATAGGTAGGTGGATTTGTTTCTGGATTCTCAATTCTGTTCCATTGGTCAGTCATGGTATGAGTACCAGGTCATATCTACTACTGTGACTGGGGAGAATGTTCTGAGGTCAGGGACTGCAAGGCCTCCTAATTTGTTTCTTTTCTTCACTAATGCTTTGTGTATGTGAAGTCTCTTTCCTTTCTATAGGAAGCTGGTGATTCATTTTTTCGTCTCATTAAAGAAAGTTGTTGGAATTTGGATCAGTATTGAATTCTACATGCAGATCATTTGGTATTTTCACAATATTGAATCTTCCTATCCATGAGCTTGGTACGTTTTTCTGTTAATATAGGTCTCTCTCTCCCTTTTTCATTTTCCGCTTGCAGTAGCATTTTGTCATTTTCTTTGTCCTTTATTCTGTAAGAAAAAGAAGGAGTATATATGGCAGACTGTTTTGTGTCAGGCAGGTGTGAGGCAGTGTACATATTTTATGTGACTTCATTCTCTTAATTATTCCATGAGGACAAGACACTGAGAATCCTCTGTGCTCTCTTTGCCTCTGAAAATCAAGCTCACATTCCTGTAAGACTGTGGTCATTTCTTTACTATTTGCTAGGAATCCATAAAAGAATCCCAGATGTTGCCTCAGCAGGTTGATTTTTCTACTATTGGAATCATTGTGGTTCCCAGCTTTCAGGTCTTTACAGTCTGTGACAGCTGTTGTTGTTGTTATATCCAATCGAGTCACCTGTGACTCATAGCAATCCTATGTACAACAGCCCTGAATCCTGCTCTATCCTTTTCAAGTCTTATTGTCTCTGACACATCTACCCCCATTACCCCAGTCACTGAATCAACCCATCTCATTAAGGGTTTTCCTCTCTTGCACAGTCCCTCCACCTTCCCAAGCATGATGTCCTTCTCCAAGGGCTGGTCCTTGCAACATGTTCAAAATAGGTCAGATGAGGCTTCAG